AAAAAAAAAAAAGCTTAAAGGAATTTACAATGCCAATATTGGAACCTTTCATAAATTTAAATAAATAAATAAATAAAAAGACAAAGCAGTACTGAAGCTAAGCCACAAACTCCGAAGCAGCATGTAAGGAGTGAACAGAAACACCTAAGAGACTGGAAACAAATATAAGGCGAGTTTCAATCAGCAAAAGTATAACTTACAGGTACTGTAAATGTTGGAGTAGGCCCAGCTGTGAAACCAGTGTACCAGACAAATTCGCATTCCCTAAATCACTGAACATGGACAAACGTAAGAAATAATCCCTAACCCGGTATCTCGTGTTTTAATGGAAATAATGTCATTTGTTTTAAGAGATAGACAGATCATCAGGCTTACACTCGTGTAACACTATTTTCGCCATTGCACGTGACGTGAAACCAAGTGCATGGATTGACAAGGGTCGGGTCCCAACTCTGAAGAACATTGTTAGGATCGGCCAAGTTGTTCCTCAGTGCATTCAACGCGTCACCTGCCTCAAATAAGCATTTTTCTTTTTTTTCAATTAAAGATGGTATGGCCCATTATAAGCATGTATGCATGGTTTAATTTGAAGATCCCGGTTAAGCTACAAAGAGAGAGCACGATTCTTGACAATATTAACAATAACCAGCCAAAACTTTACCTCAAGCTTCTGTTAACATCCATTCAAAACGTATACAACACAGTTAAACTTCATTAAACAAGTAAAAAGGGAAAAACAACAGTCGAATATTATGTAAAATGGATCACTATAGTAAATTGCCAGCAATCTGCCATTCTGCAGATTAAAAGAGACACATCTCCTTCATTAAATCCCCCAAACAGAAACAGTTCTTTATTGATAGAATAGCCTCTGAAAACTCATACTGAATCAAATTTCCCTTACAGTCGAACTAAATACAGGCCGACGTGCATCAAATTCCTCAACCGAGAGAGTAAAAAGTAAACCAGAGGCCAAAAAACCACAAACAAAAGCTTTTTTTTTTCCCCAGAAAGCTATGATGTAATAACAACACAAGTAAACGAGCTGACCTTCAGCATTGCCAGAAACCCGCGAAAATCCAGCCAAGAACAGCACAAAGCAGCACAAGATCGTGTCAATTAAACGATTCATTAAATACTTTGACTTTGGCCCCAAAGCTTCACCACCTAAAATACCTAATTCCATCATTAACAACTACACTAAATCTCAACTCGCATCATCATTACCAACACACATTCAACCTTAACCACACGATGTAGCTATCAACACACAGTAGACAAAAAAAAAAAGTAACCCAAGAAAACGAAAGGGGGGCAAAAAAAGACCAATCTTTAGAATCAATTTATGCGAACATACAGGAGCTGGGCTGAGCTAAACCACCGAGAACAGGCAAGAATTGTAGCCAGAACTCGAAAAAACTAGGATGTAATAAAAACAGCAGCAACAGGAAAAATCAAGCAAGTTAATTGATTTGAAGTTGGAATTGATTCCTGCGGGCAACTGAGAAAGGACAGGGAAATGGGTTTTCTTTTTCGAGTTTTTTTTTTTTTCCTCAATTTGTTGGCAGAATTTGGTAACTTTTGTGTACAATAAATTGCGGGTCAGAGTAGTTCAAAGGTCCCATTAGGGCATCTCCAATGGTAATAGCTATTACTAGCTATATAGTCAGCTGACATGGATGTGAGAGATAAGAAAAATAATTATTTTACACTATTGGACCCACATACTCCTCTCACATAATATTGGGCTACGTGAAATAGATAAGGGCATCTCCAATGGTAATAGCTATTACTAGCTATATAGTCAGCTGACATGGATGTGAGAGATAAAAAAAATAACTATTTTACACTATTGGACCCACATACTCCTCTCTCACATAATATTGGGCTACGTGAAATAGATAAGCTATTTGTTAGTAGCTAGTGACTACTCTCTCTCTTACTTTTCCCCTGTTCACGTCATAATAGCTAGCCAAATAGCTAATCATTGGAGACACCTTAAAGAGAAAAACAGGAGCTTTGAAGTCTGCAGAGATGGAGGGAGAGAGAAAATGGAATTGATATACCTCTCTCGGTCAAAGGTTCTCTCTCTTTCAGCGCCTCCCACCACTTGCATTAGTATTCTTCTGTAGTTTTAAATTAAAATATTTGTTCGAGAGAAGGAGACGAAGAAAAGAACAGCCAAGAAAATTAAAAAAATGAAAAGGGGAAAAGAAAGAAAATGAGATTTGAAAGATATTTTGTTTGCATTAGTTCTCATGTTCGAACAAGCACTTGGAACCACAGAAAAATAAAGAATATTTTGATATTTTATTTTATTACTTATGTTTATTTTATACTAGTATGTAACCCGTACGATACACGGGCTGTATTTGTTTTGGTAAAATTTATAAATTGAAGGTTATTAATCAATAACGTATAATACGTAGAGCATTTGTCACTTGATCTAAAATATTCGTCATAAAAAAAGGCATACATGATTAAAAACCTCTTTGTACATAATATTATTGGTTTTTAATACAACCAACCCACAGCCTTGCTCCACCATTATTATATATAAAAAAGCAAAATTAAAAAATATCAAAATTTATAATACTTTATTTTTTTAATACTACCACCACACAATCTTGCTCTACGAAGCTACATTATGAGAACTCATGGATAGCCTTTGCCTTTATAACGACTCTCAGAACTAATAGTATTGTCCCTATAATAGATAAAATAATAATTTCAAACTAATAAATTTTTCTTAAATGTATATAACAATTAAATACCTTTATGCAAATACTTACTCCAAATCGAAAAGAGTAAAGTCAATCATTTGGGTATGTTGTCGTGCAACTTGCTTGAATTGCACTTGTTGAATTTCTACTACCAACCCAATGTTATCTACATTCATATGAAATAAAAAAAATATTTATTTAATCATTGTTAGATATGATAATGAGTATAATCGAAAGTTATTCTTATCGAAAAGTGAAGACTCATCGACATTTTTCACATCACAAAATGTTGCAAAATTTCAAAAATCAAAACGGAAAATAGAGAAATAGGTTGGGTTGGCTATGATTTTTGTTTTTCTATTCAAAATTATTTTGTATTTGATAATTGCAGATCCATATTTACTAAGATTTCTTTCCACTTTGTAGTTGCAAATTGCATAAACATCTTCTTCCTCTAATTCTTTTCGAATTTTCAGAAGTTGACTTTCCACATCTTTGATAAGAACGAAAGGTTGGTCCATTTTTTGTTTGACACTTACTATGAATTTCTCAACTTTTTGTATGTTCATAAATGGTGATCAAGCACATTAGTTAGTCCATCATCGTTTTGTTTTTCTGCTAATAGTATGAGAAATTGTTTTCCTAACGATTGACAATTGAATGGCAGAGTGTGTTCGAGATTCTCGTAAATACTAATATATATATATATATATATATAATTTTTAGTTATTATATGAGATTTCGGAATATAAGTTCACAACGTGTAGAATATCTCACTACATTACAATATTAATATTTATGGAATCTATATAATTGGGTTCATCAAAAATAAATCTATCTAATATTTTAAACAAAAACGAATATATGTAACTTCAAAATAATTCTTGTTATTGTACCGAAAATTAAAAATCTTGTTACCATTTTTTTCAGTTTTTTATCTTTGTGATTGATATGGAGACAAAAATAGGAGATTGATTAGGATTTTCATTCCATATCATAAAAGAAAAAAAAATTGGAAAAACAGAGGCATATAATTAAGCAATAATTAATGAAAGTATGTTAAGTTACTATTTTTAGAGTGTAATTAATGAATTTGGCGGGAAAAAATTTCTAAAAATGAATTAAGTTAATTCTTATTATATATTAATAGATTCCATATATAAGATTGTGTAGGTCTTATTATGGTACTCCCTCCTATTTATTATAAATGTCGTTTTGACTTTTTTGATTCATCCATTTTGTTATGTATCTAGACATATTAATGTCTAAATACATAATAAAATGGATGAATCACAAAAGTCAAAACGACATTTATAATGAACAGGAGGTAGTATTATATATTGTAGGGATTCAGTTTTCTATGGCAAAAAGGAAAAAGAGGCGTGCTTGATGAGGTGTAGGAGAGAGAAAAAGAAGATTACCTTACCATAATCTTTGCTATATACAAGGAAAAAAATCATATGAGAAGTCCCATTCTTGGAGAAGACTTCAACCCTAAGGAGATTGTATATATACCCTAGGAGAAGCTCATATTGCGGCTGCTGAGAAGATAGGAATTTATAGAGCAATATTCGAGCTTATTTTATTCAGTTCAGTTGTGTACATAGTTCAGTTTAAGAGTTCTTACGTGCTCAAGAACTGAAGATGGTTTTGTTTAGTTTCTTTATTTCATTAAAACTATCTTTTGTTTTTACATTTAGGGAGTAAGTGTAGGATAAAAGTCCACGGGACGTGGCCGGAGAAATAGTTGATAGGATCGTAAATAGTGTTGGCTAGACTAGAAGGGCGTTCGAGTCTTGTAAGTCCAAACTATGTCTCTATGCGATTTATCAATGAAAGAGCTCTGAGGGGAAGTGGGATGCTTCCCTGAAGAGTTTTTAAATCTTCGGTCTTATTGCTTCTGCATTTTACAGTTCGTTTTCCTACGTTAATTGGCGCACTCCGTGATAATTATACGTTTCATTTGGCACCAGAGCAGTGTTCATGTTCTAACTACGAGATAAAGATTATTGGGACTGTGTGTCGGTCACCATGAGCCATGATGGGATGTCTGTCTCGCGCCCTCCGTTTCTTGATGGCTCCAATTATGCTTACTGGAAATCAATAATGGTGATCTTTCTCCGGTCTCTTGGCAAGGGCACATGGCAGGCCGTTGAATCGGGTTGGACGGTACCTCTTCAGGAGAAGGTTCCTGCTGAAACTAAGGCAAGAGAGTCCTCAGATGGAAAGTCGTCTACCAAAGTTCTGGTCGAAAAACCAAGGAGTATCTGCACTGATGATGAAAAACAAGCAGAAGAAGCGAACTTTCGAGCTTTATATGCTATCATGTCTGCCGTAGATCCCACTCGTCACAAGATAATCATTCAGTGCACTATTGCTCAAGAAGCTTGGAGGATCTTGGAAAGACAGTTTGAAGGAACAAATGCAGTTAAAACTTCAAAGCTCCAAAGAGTCTCTACCGAGCTCGATGAGATCCGCATGAGGGAGGATGAAACTATTGACATGTACTATGCTCGTTTCTGCGATCTAGTAAACCAAAGTGCAATGCTTGGTGAACCAGTTCCAGAAGCTAGACAAGTGCAGAAATTAATGAGAACTCTACCGGATAGGTTTGGGATTAAGATTACAACATTAGAAAGTTTTCAGAGAATCCAGAAACTCGGCATTGATGATCTTCTCAGCGAGCTTCGCACCTTTGAAATCAACCATGGCTTTGACTCTATGAGGATAAGCAAAGGGAAAGGCTTAGCGTTAAAGGCCAGGGTTCGTACTGCAGTTGCTGAAGATGAAGAATCCGATGAAGAATCCTTTGATGCTGATGAAATCAAAAAGGCTCTGACAGTACTTTCTAAGAATGTCTCGAAGCTGAAGAAATTTCAGAAAAAGAGGTTTCAGGGTAATAAGTCCTTTGATAGTGGTAGGAACCAAATTCAGCAATTCGGAGAAAAGCGTTCCGGCATGCAGCTGAACAAGTTTTAGAATCTAACCAAGGAGTTGAAAAAGACCAGTGTCGTGAATGCAAGGGTTTCGACCACTTTCAAAAGGAATGTCCTAACTTCAAGAAGAAGAACAAGACGTTCAAGGCTACGTGGTCTGACTCCAGTGACGACGAGGAAGAAGAATCTGAAAAGACTGAGAATTCTAACTACTCAAATAACTCTGCTAAATGTCTTCTGAATGAATATAACTATTTTACGTCCTCTGTTCATCTGACTGATGTAGAGTCTGACGCAGGTTCTTACGCGAAGAATTTGAGCGATGTGGACTCTTATGAATTCTCGGATCCAGCTGCTGAAAATCTTGTACTCCACGAGTATGCTATAGAAAAGTGTCTCAAGGCAGCGGAGATCATCAAGAAGTACCAGGCTCAAAAAGAGAAGATGAAGGTTATGGAACATCGATCTGCTGA